GGAAACTTAGGACATCGGTGCCACAGATGCTGTAGGGCAAATAATGTAACTCGATTTCTTTCTTGTTCATTCTGTTTTCGCAATACAAATGCTGAAATCCCGCTGTACTTATGGTAATTTGGTTTTTTCGTAGCCCGACTTAGATTACGGGTTCTTTAAGTGGCACGATCCCAATATGGAAAATTTCTAAGGACTTTGATTTTGGATTTACATAACAAGATTTGGGAGCTGAAGGCGGAGGCCAATGTTACAACAAATAAAGAACATCTGCAGGAGGAGCAAGAGATTATGCCACAGATTGAAGAAATGGCCAGGGTTCCAACGAAGATGATGGAAGATTTTGTTCCTTTGAGAAAGAAATGTGCTTCCTGTTCTTCTTTCACCTATTTTGTACTTACCTTAGTTCTTGGCATGTTCATTGGCAAGTTGCTTAGTTCACCTTAGTAGATTCAAGTATCAATTTATGATGTATCGGACTAAAATATGTCACTTTTGTACAACTATTATTAAACTAAATGCAAGGTGATTATCCAGGTGTTCAATTTATTGAAATGTAAATGCTAGTACATCCAAGTATCAATTGATGTGTCGGACTGAAATCTATCACTATTGTACAACTATTGTTGAATTAAATGTAAGGTGATTAACCAAGTGTTCAATTTATTGAATTATAAATGATAGTAGATCCAAGTATCAATTGATGTGTTGGAGGCATACTACTTCCTTGGACACTAGGCCCTGGTATAGGGGCAACCAATTTATTGAACTATGTATATACACTCCTACGGTCCTACCACACCCTCCCATCCATTCGATCCCCACTCTGCTACCTTGCTCTGCTTCACCCTGCTAGCATCGGACGAAAGGCAGCCTCTCACGTGCTCACTGCTCCTTCACCTCCAACCTTGCCGGCGCACAAATCTTCAGCGCGTCGTCCCTGCTTCTCTACTTCATCCGGATCTAAGGTAGCTGCACTGGATCTGCTCCTTCACCGGATTCTATATTCCTTTGTATTGCTCTCTCGTGCCCTCTACTCCTTCACTTCCAACCTAGCTACAATTATTTTATTGGATCTGCAGATGAAAATGCATCTTCTTGTTTTAGAGTTTGTGGCCTTATATATCCATGGAGTGCATCTTGTGAGCCTTATTGTCCTCAGTATTGCTTCATCGAATCAGTGCTTTGTGAACAAAGTCAATGAGCTAAATAAAAGTGTACCAATGGATGTGGACATGGTTGTAGTGGTCAAGGCTCAGGATGACATGGAGATTGACAATGATCCCATGGAGGTCAACAACGATCTGTAGGATATTATGGAGATTCACAACGATCCCATGGAGGTCGACTAGGATCTACATGGAGAATGATTAATTATGCAACCAATGATGTACATATGAAGGCCTTTTAACTTTTGCATAGTGTCGGCCTAATTAGTATCTGCATTTTAGCTTTCGGCATGCTTGTTAGCTTGGTACTGTCCACCTACTTATTCGGTATGAATGTATGGAACTCAAGTTGGATTCCTTTCAATCCAAGAGTACTGGCATCATGCTTTCCTTATGTTTTCTAAGTGCACAGTTTGGCTTTCTTTCAATGTAAATCTATGTGCCTTATTATTCACCATCAAACTCAAGTTGGCTTCCTTTCAATCTGAGTACTGGAATTGTGCTTTTCTTAGTTTTCTAAGTGCGCGGTTTTGCTTTGTTTTAATGCCAAACATTATGATTGTGTACCTTAGTTCATCATCATCCGTATCATCTGGCGATCTACGGGTGGTAATAGGACCCAACCACCGATGATGATGGTCTTTGTGCATTCACCGCCGCTTAGTTGCAAAATTTCCAATCCGTGTTTGAACCCTCCCGCGTGGAACCGATGAAAGTTCGATTCCCACGTGGCGTAAAAGTTCTGTGAGCAGAGCAAGCAACCCCCCCCCAACATCCCCCTAACCCTTCCCTCCCCACCATTGCCCCTCCCTCCCCCCTACACACATAGCTTTTCTTGTCCTCATTTGTTATTCGTCATTGCCGCTCCTGCTCATCACCACTGCTCAGCTCTTGCTCCGCGCCGGTGCACATCGTCGGCTTGCCCGCACAGATCCACCAGCACACAAACTATTGCTGTCACCGACGTTGCCACTCATGCTCACCACCGCGAGATCCAAAGGCAAGTGTAATAAGGCCTTACTTGCATCGCCGTCCCTTCTCCTCGAAACTCATCTCCTTACTAATATTTATTGATGCAATTCTACGACAGGGCGTCCTCATCTTTTTGGCTGGTGGTGTCCTTCCAGATGAAGGAGGCCCACAACATGAGGAACACAGTGGACAACCTCTCAGACGATGTGTTTACCGACATCTTCAGCTACCTCCCCGCCCGGACCTTGTGTTGCTGCAAGTGTGTCTGTCGCTCCTGGAGGCGCGTCATCTTTGACTCCTATCAACGTAAGAAGCTTTCACATACTGTCATCGGCTTCTTCTATGGCAGCTGGTGGGAGGGCAATCGCCACTTCATCAGCATCACCAGTGAATGGCCCTTCTTGTCCTTCTTGCCTTTCCCCCTTAAAAAGTCCTAGTCTCAGGTTGTTGCAGCGGCCTCGTCCTTTGCTGGTGTGCTGGGCCTGATGCATTACGTCGCTATGTTGTCTGCAATCCGACGACCGACAAATGGCATGTACTGCCGCATAGCATCTATTCTGTTGGTCAGGCTCGCTTAGGTTTTGAACCAACGTCCTCGCACTTCCATGTGATTGAATTTGTTGAGGTGGAGGGTGCGTGCGTAGGTGTGGAGATCTACTCATCTAAAACTGCAGCATGGATCTTTAAGGAATCTAAATAGGGCGAGGGTAGTATTGTTCTACGTTCAAAATCGAGAAGTGTTTTTCTTAATGGTTTTATGCACATGGTTGAGTACTCTACGATAGTTGCTGTGGATATGGAGGGAAAGACATGGAGGACAATTCGTAAACCTAGTGGTGCTGAAATATCCATCCATCAAGCTCAGGGTCACCTGTGTGTGTGTTGTGCTGATTTTCGCAATAGGTCTTGGCTTTTAGTGTGGATACTTGAAGACTATAGTACTGATAACTGGAATTTGAAGCATGTTGTGAACATGGACAAACTGTTTGGACGCATGAATTTTAAAGTTAGTTCTGAGCTTTGTGATGAGGAGTACAGAGTGATTACAGTTCACCCAGAATGGAATTTTATTTTCCCTGTTGTGAAGGATAGAACATTGATTGCATATGACATGGACAACAGAAGATTCATGTCATCCATGCCCGTGTCATCCGCTTTTGTAGATCAAGAGGGTGTTTCCATATGAACATGCCTTACTATCTTCCTTATGTTCCCTTGTTCATGGAGTCATTAGCAGAGCGGTAAAGATGCATTTCCTGTATTTCGTTGTCACGACAGTCTTTGTTCAGGTAGACAGTTGTTTTCATTCTATGTATGTATAGGCCAATTTTAGCTTGTTAACTAAAGTAATGATATATTCAATATTATTAATTCTACTGCTTTGTTCAGGTTGTGGATCAGGGATGAATAAGAGGGGTTCCATGGTACATTGGCTACCAATCCAAAGGATGCACTAATTATATTCATTTTACCTTGCAAGCAGTAGTGCCACGTATAAGGAGCACAACTACGTCGTTTCGTTATGTAAGTCTGTATAGATCAGTACCTTTAGTATGCTCTATGTACCGCTTGTGTTAGGACATCAGTTGAGAAAGATGTTATGGTAGCGTCCATTGGTATTGTAAAAAGTACTCTTGTTTGTGAACATGATTTATGGATGTAATAATTATATATCTGTATGTTTTGTGTTCATCAAGCTATTAAGGACCCAGCTGAATTAGTAACTATTGTGAAACCGGATGAAATTCTATCACCGTCGCTATAGGTATGATGCGGTAGGGATCAAAAGTACATCACCGCCAAATCCTCTAGTAACCCGACACCGACTAAATGTTCATCAAAGGCGGATCGTGGTGCAAGGCGACAGTGAGCATGACCTTTGTACTGGCGGATCATACGCTGAAGCGACGGTGGTGTTAACCCCTATACAGGCATCTCGGCCGTCGAACCGACAGTGAACCCGCACCGCTGACAGTTGGGTCGACGTACAAGGTGACGGTGCTGGTGACCACTACACAGGCGGTTAATGTGCCCACACGACGGTTTTGATAGCCTCGACACAGTCGGATCATTTGCCAATGCGGCGGTGTTAGTGTACATCCACAGCCAGGTTGTGCTCCAATGCGACTGAAGTAGGGACTTAATCACGGACGGATCATAAGCCAATCGGCGGTGTTAGTGTACACCGCAGTCGGTCCCAGATGGCGATGGTGAAGGCTATGACCATCACTGTCGACAGCTCACTGCCGAGGCCGAAATTGGACTGCGATGTGGGTTACGACGCGGCTACGAAAGGTGCGAGTGTAGTAGTGGTGGTAATGGCAAATTCGACCCTGGCATAGGAACATTTTAGATGCAGGGTGTTGCAATCATGAATTGTATCCTGAATGTGAATGTACACTTGTACAGCCATCAGTTTTGAGCTTGACGAGGTCATGCACACTCAGTGTGGTGGTTCCTTCTCTGTTCGTCAATGGCACCTCCCTATCGCTACTACGGAAGATGCTTGAAGGTGGTTTATTGTCATTGACGTAGAAGAAGACGAAGGCCTTCAAAGTTCAGATCGATCTAGTTTCCCTGACTACTCTTCTTCATTCCCACTCTGCAGAGCACGACACATGACACCATCTGATTTCCCTTACACACCATCACCCGTTTGTCACTACCATCTACGATCAGCAGCACCACAATAACTTCATAACCCAGCCAAGGAGAGAAAAGATCAAACCCATTTGGTAACAACATAAGCATTATTATTAATCCAGTCAGATATAACTGTTGCGGCCAACTTCACCAGGAACCAGTCAGATATTTAACTAGACATAGTTAAAAAACAACAACATGAAAACCACACTAGGCAGTTTAACCAGCGATGGCATTTTCAGTAGGACCCTCATTCTTCACTTCATATGCATGATGAGGCACCATGCTCATTGGCTGAGGAATTGGTAGGCCTCCAAAATCCTGCGGGAGGAACTCAAAGTTTGGCCCAAAGTTGAATTTGATGATGCAGTTTGGGTTGCCAGGCTCCGTATACATCGACGCGGCTGGGTAATACCTCCCTCCAGGTATGTCCTCGAAGGCACTGCCTTGGCATAGCCCGTTTTTAAAGTAGCATATCTCACTACCTGCATATGCAAGAACCATAGGATATTCAAACCCCCCTGAACAAATAAAATAATAGATGATAGATTCTACAAAACCAAAGTGTAAAAGAGTAATTGTTGAACACATCCTTTTGTATTTATGCATGCAAATCAAAGTGTAATGTAAAGGAACATACAGAGGCACGCACAATTACAGTATACTCAAAGCTAATATAAAGGAACACAAATAGGCATACACCAATCACATGTACCCCCTAGACCCATCCACTGGTAGAGAACCGAGCTTTACTCCCGGTGGGGAACCCCCTCTAGTCCCGGTTCCCCACCCGGGAGCAAGCATCCGGGACTAAAGGGGGTCCTTTAGTCCCGGGTCAGGAACCGGGACTAAAGGAGGACCTTTAGTCCTGGTGGGTAACACCAACCGGGACTAAGGGTGCCTCCTGACATGCCACGATGGCCGGCACCTTTAGTCCCGGTTGGTAATACGAACCGGGACTAAAGGTTTTTTTCTTTTTTTTTCTTTTCATTTTTTTGTTTTCTTTTCAAAATAGGTTTTCGAAGTCATATTGTACGCTGCTAATTATACATTTATACGCGCGTATAGTATGTTTCGGTTCAAGCACAATGAACGTATTAAATCACACAATTCAAGCATATATATATATATATATATATATATATATATGCATGCATCATATATATATTTACATGCATGCATGCATATGTGTATTTTACATTATATTATTTCATGTGCATATATTACAAAAGATTGCATTACAGTTGTTGTGACATAAAAAGTTTCCTCTCATCCTCTAGCTTGGCTTCAATGGCAGTGTTGGGTCGAAGTAGAACTCGCCCTTGGAATCGATGACCTGCTCATTAAAAAATCCGGCTATAGACTCTTGAATTGCTTTGATTTGGTCTTGTCGTATGACCTTTTCCTCCAACCATCGAGTCTACAGGTTTGAATTAAAGGAAAATAAATTAATATATGTACATATATATATATAAAGACATAGTAACACAATCAATAATAATAATTAAATGAATATATAGTGTATTTTTAACGTACTTTGAGTCTCTCTGTAGGAGTTCTTTGGGAGAGCACCTTGATAAACTTGCAAACATAGTAACCACGATGTAGTTATTCCCTGTTCTCGCCTCAGAGACACCACTTTACGAGAAAAGATTTGTCATCCAATCGGTGATCCGGTGAAAGCTATATGTTTAATTAATAAAGATGATGCGATTCGTGGGGACTTACTTTCAAAGGGATTACATTCAGTGGCGCTTTGCATTTTTCCATGTGTTGCTTCTCAATAAAGGTTTTCCAAACACTGCCCAATAAAAAATTTGCCACGTCATCAGATATAGTTAATCATCATGTTTGTGTGTATATATAGTTGCTAGAGATCCCAAAATTACCTCTGGATAATATCTATCATATCTACCAACCGCCGAAAGTTTCCATGTGCTTATGCGTAATCCAAGCTTCAGTCTTCCCTGGAAACTCAGATCGTAAGAGATCCTTGTGTGTCTCAATATACGGATCTACCAAAGAGGAGTTCTGTAGAACTGTGTAGTGCGCTTTATTGAAATAATCATCATCTGTACCAATATATGTTTTCCTCCCTAGTGTCCCCTTTCCGCTTAGTCTCCCCTCATGTCTCGATTCAGGAACACCAATCGAGTCAAGGTCGGGAATAAAGTCAACACATAACTCAATGACCTCTTCTGTTCCATAGCCCTTGGCGATGCTTCCTTCTCAGGCGAGAACACGGTTGTGAACATATTTCTTGAGACTCTCATGAATCTCTCTAAGGGGAACATGTTGTGTAGGAACACAGGACCGAGAGTGAAAATCTCCTTGACTAGGTGAACTAGGAGGTGTGTCATAATATCAAAGAAGGAAGGAGGAACACCAACTCAAAGGCGACGAGACATTGAACCACATCATTACTCAGTAGTTTAGCTAGATCAGTTGGATCAATTGCCTTACGAGAAATTGCATTGAGGAATGCACATAGCTTCACGGTGGCTAGGCGTACATTTGGAGGTAGAATTCCTCTTAATGCAACTGGAAGTAATTGCGTCATGAGAACGTGACAGTCATGGGACTTTAAGTTACAGAATTTCTTCTCTGGCACATTTATAATACCCTTTATATTCGAGGAGAATCCAGATGGTACCTTGATGTTGTTTAAGCATTCAAACATGATTTCCTTCTCTTTGCTTAGAGTGTAGCTAGCAGGACGTAAGTAATGGCGTCCATCATCTGTCTTCTCTGGATGCAGGTTGTCTCTTTCTCTCAAACAACGCAGGTCCTGTCGTGCTTCAAATGTGTCCTTAGGCTTTCCATACACACCCATAAAGCCTAGCAGGTTCACACAAAGATTCTTCGTCAGGTGCATCCGCTCGAACTTGATCTTCTCCTTTTCAGTTTCACATTCTCTTTGTGCGTCACGAGTGACCTGAGAAAGATCATCAGCCGGCTCATCTTCTGCGGCTACCTCTTCTTCAGCTTCTCCCATTGCAGTATCATTGAAGCACGCACCATCAGGAATAATATCATTGTCGTCCCATTGTTCTTCTTCACCTTCTTCCATTACAACACCGGTTTCTCCGTGCTTTGTCCAACAAATATAGTTTGGCATGAAACCCGACTTGAACAAGTGTGAATGAAGAGTCCTTGAGCAAGGATATTCCACCGTATTCTTACATATGGCACATGGACAACACATGAAACCGTCGCGTTTGTTTGCCTCGGCCGCACGTAACAAAGAATGCACGCCGTCAATGAACTCTTGGGAGCGACGATCAGCATTATACATCCAATGACGGCTCATCTGCATTACATGACATAAATATCATATTAAAATCTAGATCATAATTAATTATTTATACAACATGCGTGCCACCACAAAAGATACAAATTTATGAAAGAATCGCTACAATGTAGACAATCCCAACTACCACTAAAAGAACTAAAGCTAAAATACATTTCAGGAGCATAAGGATTTCACGACCAATCTCAACTAAAACAGACAGATCCCCTGATTGTGCAACATCTTTGGGCTTCTTCGGCTGGATCACTGCCTCATTAGCCGCCGTATCTGCCTGTTGTGCAAGATATTTTTGCACGAGTTCAACATACTCTTCCTCCCAGTAGAAGCCTGAACATCGTCCACTACCATCCCACTGAAATTAAAATAAAAAATTAGAACTTTAATCACAACCATCATGAAAATAGGTATAAACTAACCATAATCATTAAATACGATAAAATAACTCACATTGCGATCCGGACACTTGTAGAAGATACGATCCTTGTTGGGACCCTCCTTCTTCACTCGGTACTCCATCACAATCTTCATCTCATCACGACACTTGTCGCATGGAATGAGAGGGAGGCCCGGCCTAAGTCGCTTTGGAAACCCATGAGAGGCCGAGGACCCGGAAGCAGTTTCCATCTACTCTCTATACTCATTTTTTAATAAACTATAAATTTCTCCTTTTATAAACAAATAAAATTAAGAAACTATAAAATTATCTAGATCTCTAAACAATGATATTTTTAATGGTCATTGTGTTCTCGTCTTTTACTGCGGCAGGTAAGTAATTCACATGATATTTCCGCAAATTAACAGAAGAATGGGAGTGTACACACATAACAGACTACTACGACGATATCAGGACGTGTGAATAAATAACCATCCGTACTAATTGACCTTGCTTACGTGATCATCTCGGCGAGCATTTCTCCACCGGACGGCACCGTACTTGGCCACGGAAGAGCTCCAATTCTACGAGGAAGGGAACACGGTCTTCCACGACCGTTGCCGCTCTCCCTCGTAGAATCAAAGCTCCTCCTTGACGTCCGTTGCCGCTCGGCAGAGAACGTGTTCGCCGAGATGAACACGGTCCGTAAGTTCAACTAGCTACTTTAACCTTATTTCATGTAAATATGCAAGCTTGAAGTGATTTTGAGCTCAAATTGCTTACAAATGAAAAAACCACAATAAAGAACCATATATATATATAGTGAACAAAATGAGATAAGATAATGGTGAAAAATGAGAGTATGAGATTGGTAACCTTTACAACTGAAGAATCGATGGAGGAATCGAAGAAATCGAATAATGGATGGAGAAACAATGGAGGGAGGGAGGAAGCAAGAACACTAGTGCAGTGAGCTTCAAAATGTGCTGAGCTCGGGCTCGGGGAGGAAGAAGGAGACGACCGGGATATAAAGGGGGACCTTTAGTCCCGGTTGGTGGCTCCAACCGGGACTAAAAGTAACTTTCCAACCCCGGGCGCAGCCACGGCCCGGGAGTAGACCTTTACTCCCGGTTGGAGCCACCAACCGGGAGTAAAAGTATACCTTTAGTCCCGGTTGGTGGCTCCAACTGGGACTAAAGGTCCCTGCCACCTCTGTCTGGCGCAGTAGCCGTTGGGGCAGGGACCTTTAGTCCCGGTTGGAGACACCAACCGGGACTAAAGGTATTTCTAGTCCCGGGCGCAAAAAATTCCGGGACTAGAGCCCATTTTAACCGAGTAGGTCTGTTCTCTACTAGTGATCTTAAAATATAAGGGATTTTATCTTGTCCTAACTCAAACTGTTCTAATTAAGTTTCAACAAGTTTATAGAAAAAGAGTAATAATATTTATGACACAAAATTAGCATCATTAGATATATTATGAAATATACAGTTTCATAATTTACGTATTTGATGTGGTAGATGTGTTCTTCTCCGTAAGCTTGGTCAACCATATGATAGTTTGACTTAGCCCAAACTTAGATTCCTTATATTTCAGGAGGGAGGGAATACATATTAAACACCCAACATTCGAATATTTTAGCACCGAGGGGGCAAATTAAAAATTAAACCTCTCAAGCATAACCAATTGTGATTTCTGACTAAATTATACAAAAATCATTTTAAAATATGCAATTTATTCATGTATGGAAGCTACTAAAACATACTTCAGTAAATAAATATTGAAGATGCACACCGTTATTCATGTCTGGAAGCAATTACAAGGTGCAATGGTGCTACAATGCCAAGAGATGTAAAGTCCCAAATGAAAAGGTTATACCACAATCTAAATTTTCAATTAGCTTCCTTGCACCAATAGAGTAATAAATCCCAGTTGCTATGAATAACCAAGAATATCACAGTACCATAAGGGATGGATAAAAGAGAACATAATAGAGGAAGCAAATTGTGCTTAGCAAAACTGCGACAGGATCCGTTCAGTCAATTTTATTACTGCCATTCTTTATTTGTAGTATATTGGCATTTAGTTAACTTAATAAAGTTTGCATTTCTTTCCAGACAGAGAATGTTGGAGGAACTTCCTTTTGTTCAGTTTGCTTTGTTCTTGACTTCTGTCAATCTTATGGGATATCTCTACCTTGTTGAGAGCACTTCATCCTGAACAATACACATATGCTCACTCTTCTCAAGGAAAAGTATACATGCATGCACTCCTTTGAAGAAAATATTCACATATTACTGAGAAGGAAACAATGGGGGTCTATGAAACTACTCACTAAACATGCTCATTATCTTCAATTGAGCTGGAAAAATAACTCATCTGTTCTCTGAATATCATCTGTATAGAAAATCTATTGAAAATTCCTGTTTCTAGTAGTGAGTTGGCAGCATATGCTGGTGCTTCCTTTCCCTATTTCATGTTACCTTATGAGCATTCCTCGTCTCTAAAAGTCTTCGTCATTAATATGAAAATAATGACTTATTGAACTATTGTTTAGGCCTTGCAGATTACAAGATGAATAAAATGGAAATTACTATCTAGTGTGTGTGCCATGCAGATATATCAAGTCGATACGACGATACACATTCAAGTAGCCTATATATATGGTAACTAAAGAGGGGCCACAAATTTGTGTAGGGGCCTAACGGGTGAACTGGGAAAATACCGTGGCACCCTTAAATGTTAAAACAGGTATCTAGCGACACAAACATGAATCATTAGCAATAAATTTTCTGCCTAATAATTCAACATCAGCGCACAATTTTGGCCTATGATACATAAATTTTCAACAGTTCTAACTATTGGTTGTATAACTAATACCATTGTAAAAGTAAGTAATCGTGTTGTACTCATCATGATTTCCTATTCTATAAAACATTATATTTTCTTTTGAAGTTATCATCTTGAAACCTAAGCAATTCATTTATACAATTCTAAGCAGTTGTGTACATCATACAAAATACTGAGCGGCAAACAATTTACCTTGGCTATTATATGAAGCTACAATTTATTATTTATAAAATAGATAGCTCATACCCATTTCATTTGACAATTGTACTCTTTTCTTAGTTGGCACTACACTCTACCATAGACATAAGAGCTATTAAAACAAGTACTCACCAGGAACAGGATCCGGAGTCTTCTGCGTCTTCTTGGGGACTTGCACATGAAGAGGCATTCCCTTGTTAGGCTGCTTCGGTTCATATTGCTCCCCATTAGGTAGATAAATGTAGAACCCCAAGACATCTCCTTCCCCATACCCTTCATCAGCATACTTGTCCCTCCAAGCCTTAGTCACCTTGGCGCCATCGATGTCACGGTAGCCAAACCCATAGGCATCATAGCCAACGGGCGTCTCGATGTCAGCCCAGTTGGTAGCCCATCCAAGGCGGGTGTGGCCAGTGGGACCGAGGTGCACGATCTTGACCTCGAAGGACCAGGTCCCCGATGTGACGCCATGGGTGGCACGCACCATGAGGTAGCCCTTGTTGCTAGCTGCGGAGACGCGGTCGTCAGAGAGCTCGATCCGCTTGGACTTGTAGATGCGAGAGAGGAGCACAGGCTGGCCGGGTGCATCCTCGGAGGAGGAGTCAAGATCTAGGGAGGCCAGGGTGTTTAGGGTGCTTGGGATTTGTGTTGCGGAGGCTGAGGGGATGGCTGGTGGAGAGGGGGACGGTGGCGCGGAGAGGTTGAGCGGAAGTTGAGTTGTAGGCGGTGACGGCAACGGTGGGGGAGGGTACACGGACGCCGCCATGTCCTCGGCCATCGGGTTGCTAGGTGGGATTAGGGTTTCAAGAGGCAAGGGTTCTGAATTTGGAAGAGGATTGTGTGTTAAATAGCATAGTGGTGGGAAGCGATACCATACGTGGTTTAGGCAGTGTTTTAAACAATGGGCTATGGTGCCACTGTAGTGGCAGGAAGATAAGTGGTTTTCTTGAGTGCTATTTCCACTACAAGCACTAGAGTAGGGGATAGCATGTTAAATTGCTTATAAAACCATCAAACATATTTTTTCCCTGTGTATATTATGGAATATTTAATCTCTATGTTATACTGATTATGCTAGTGAGGAAGTGCCCTTGTCAACATTTTGCTGGACTATTGTTGGCGAATGGATGCCTTCAGGACTATCAACATGGGTGTGGAGGTATTTTAATAGTTGCTTTGCTGCCTTAGCTTGCGTATTAAGGGCGTGTTTGGTTTTTTACCTGTTGTTGGCTAAGCCAATATTTGGCCAGCGCAAAGAAATTGGCATCTATTTGGTTCATGACCAATAATTGGCCTGCCTCAAGTAAATTTGGCATGCCCAGCTAGGCAGCTACAGTTAACAGGAATAGGAGCACGAAGCATGGGCCATCATTTTGCTTGCCCCAATTTGGATTGGCTAGCTGCATGGAAGTAGAAGTGAGGATTAGCTGCACGGAGTCCAACATTTCATAGTTAAATGTACAATGGTGATAATATTATGTGTGTAATATAATAATACTATCGTCACATCTATTTGTATGGACCCACTTCCTTATTAGCGTTTTTACTATCTTCAGCTTCAATTGATGCAACACATGATGCAATCATCACCAAACAGAAGTATACTTTAGATCTAAACATGACGAATTGATTGTGCTGAATCATTGGTGCCATATATACATCTAAACAAGAGAATCCATTTAAAGAAAACTTCTGTCTAGTCTGCTTGAAATATATGAAGTACAGAATGGCCCTTGAAAATCACTTCTTTCTAAACCAAGTTCTTTTATTTCATTTGGTTTTATATTAAATGTTTAGATTAGGTAGGAGGAGAATTACTTTTTATTCCAATAAAGTAGACATCATAATTCTTTATTATATGTTGCCGTAGCACTTGTAAATATTCATCTCATTAGATCACATATAATTTTCAAACTCAAAAGATCATCCATACAAAAACTAGCAACTATGTACATTTTTAAGTCTTTATAACTTTTTTTTGTAAGGGTTAAACCGACAATTGCATTTTATTTCTGAATCTACAACCTTTTACTTTGAGATAGCAGTATGAGCTGCTTATATATTCTGGTGATATATGTTCATGGATTTGAGATAGCAGTTTCAAACTATGCTCATTAAAGAAAAGGTGAGGTATAGATATAGATATAGATATAGATATAGATATAGATTAGAATTCCTATTCAAGTCATTTATGAATGGAGATCTATTAGAATTAGGATTTCTAACTATCTAGGTTACCTCATGTCATATAAAACAGAATGGCTCTAGACTAATAGAGAGACAACTTCCACGTTCATGGAGTTAGTTACGGGAGGTGGACGAAAAATATAGGCTAAAATTTTAGCTCTTTAATATTAGGTATAGATCTACGACCTTTTACTTTTGAGATAGCTCTTATATATTTTGGTGATATATGTTCATGGATTATTTGAGATAGCAGTTTCAAACTATGTTCATAAAAGAAAAGGTGCCCTACTACCATTTTGACACTGACTAGAGATATATCTCTAAGGAAAAAAAAATGTATGTTCTGCACCAGCCAGACCCTCGTGTCCCTTTTTGTACGGGCGACGAGCAAACTCCCAGGCGTTACCGTTAGTGCCACCCCTCCTCTCACCTCCCCCTGCGCCTCATCGCCACTGGAGGCAACCACCGGACCGCGCCTGTGCGGCTCCCAAGGACCAATGAGTAGCTGCTGCCCCCACTAGAACTAAAGTTTAAAATTTTAAACCCCCAAAGTCAACTTCCAAACATGTGGGAAATATTATGAGGTTAAGAAATTAAAGGTTTAAAGCAACGTACATGCAGCTCCAAACCGTACAGGCAAACGACATTCAAATAATAGTTGTTTAATTGTCTTTTTTTTTTGCAAAAGCAACACTTTTCACTTTCTTGCCAATTGTGTTTGATTAAGTTATGTTTTGTTAGAATCACTCATTTGTAAAGATAACAAAGAAAAAAATATCTTCAGTGGAGTCTTGAACGATTTTCATCTAAGTTGAAAACCTCAAGGCAAATCAAAGCCGAATAATATAACTTCACCGAGAACTGGCCCTTTAGGTTCAAGATCTAGCGAAACATATCGTGCGTTTGTGTACGACTGATATAGCAATGTGAGGAAGATGTTTTTTCGAGGCTACTAAATTATATTCAATCAAATTACGTCTCCATAAATTATTTAGATGTGACGTACTGAAGACATCAGCTACATATCTTACTTGTGTCTACCGATATTATATAAACAAATATATTGGTCCCTTAAAGGCAAGTATTTCAAGCACTATACTCCCTCTGTTCTAGAATGTTTGACGTTTTAGGACTCAAAGTTTGTCCCAAAATACTTGTTGTGGTCTAACAAGCGGGTCACACTCTAGCCCAATCAAGACATCAATCATCTGTGGATTGTCGTCCCAGCACTTTCCATCCACTAGCCTGGTCACACTCTAGCCCAATCAAGACATCAATCATCTGTGGATTGTCGTCCCAGCACTTTCCGTCCACTAGCCTGGTCACACTCCCCAATCAAGACATCAATCAAGACATCAATCTCACGAGCCTGTTCGCTTGCTCGTATACGATCATGGATTATAAGTTGGAACAGTATTTTTCTTTCACACCAAACCAGTCAGCAGTAAATAATTCACGATCATTTACGGCCTGCCGAACAGGCTGAGGAGCGGTGGCCATGCGTGGAAGCAGGGCAATTAATGTGCATGTCGTCATTCCAATTTTTCGGTACCTGTGATGATTGTTTTGCAGGTATACCAGGGTCTTTTATCTCAGATATTGGTTGCAGGTTCCAATCCTAGAACGTCAAACATTCTAGGACCGAGGGAGTACCTCTCAGGATCTCATTTAGAACCCGTGTTTGATTGTGAAGGGTCTAAAATAAAGAAAATCCCGTTTCACCTTCATAAGACTAGCCTAGAAATATAAACCCCTAATTTTCGTGCAATTTCTAGTTCCGAGAGAAAATTTTCATTTGCTATTTGAATTTGAACCAATACATGGATGCCTAATTTATTTGATTATCGATTTTGCTGCTTGTGAGATTGAATCGAAATGAAGGACATCTCCCAGAGAGAGTGTCATGGGAAAGGACTGGTCCTACCATGAAGTCACTGTCGCAAATATCAAGAAACAGCATTGAGCAGAATGGGAGCGTGTATGGATTCATTGGATTGTAGCCACCTACGAATCAAATGGCAGTCGAGATTTTTATTCGTGCTGTGCAGGGCTGCAGGCCACAGGCATATAACTGCAGAAAATTATCACCACTTAAATAACCATAAATTATCTATAGAAGAATTCTCATAGCAAAGAGAATACTTTTGATCTATTACCAGTATGATCAAGACGGTTATTGTTATGCCCTCTTCAACATAAACATGCCGGAAGAGGCAGCTCCAGCTTGCAGTTGTTCTTTGCACGAGCAATTGTTCCATAATTCATTCGGGCTTTTCTAGGTATATAAATTTTGGTATACACCTAAGTATACATTATGTGGATATAAGTGTAGTTATGTATTTAGAAAGCCAGAACGACTTATAATTTGCAACTGAGAGAATAGGAGCAATGAGATATTCGAAAATGATACGTATTGGCTAGTCACTTAAATTTGTTAAGTCGTGTATTTTTTTTTCGAAAACCTTGTTAAGTCGTGTATGGATTGAAGAGATTAGGGAATGCTCCCCTTGCATTAGGAAGCTAAATGAATCCAAACGTGGATAGGCTTCAATCGCTGCCTCAAATTCCAAAATTTGGATTGTGCAGGATGTCATTTGAGATGTACGCTAACATTTCAGAAACTGCCATAATGCAGGTCTACAAGCTATAACAGGATATGTTACTTCGTTTAGGTTAACAGCGATAATGTTACATCGTTAGGTGTTTCTCTTTGTTCACAGGAAATTTCACTGTTATGACGTATTCAGCTAAACTGCTAGATGGGGGATATGTTCCATCTGAACCGGCATACGATAAGCCATTACGATGTGGTCTGTCCTGTGTGTTGTACGCTCCTCCAGTTTTTTTTTTTTCATTTTATTATGTCTAGTTTTATCAACCATCTCTCGTTCTGTCTCCAGTTGTATCAACCATCTGACTGATAGTAAATGAAATAAATATTTTAAGGAATTGTCAATCAAGTATTTACATTGCATTCATATTTTTCATAAAGAAACCATCTAGGTTTCAGTTTATATATACATGTTGTCAAAGGCATTTAGATTGCTCAAATCGCTCGAGCAAATTAACACAGAGATACTTATGCCGCCACACAAATCCATCCTGAGCAAAAAAGGAGTGGCCTCAAGGCTCCTTCTCCCCTTTTCTCAGTTACAGTTGCAGAGGGCGAAAAGGAGGCGACGACGGTTTCCGACGGCGATTCCACCGGCCCCTTTCCTCTCCGGCGACCGGTTTGGTACTGGAAAGGGAGGATGGCTGGAGAATCGCCGCATGGATGTATATAGATTAGGATCGAGTCTTCCTAGGTCTAGGGTTTGCTCGTTGTCGGTAGACGGTGGAGCTAGGGTTAGCCGAGGGGGCGGTGAACCTCTGTGTCTTGTCTTTCCGGGCGTTGTCAGCGAGGCGGCGGTGGCGGTGGCGGCGGCGTCGTGGAATAAATCCTCCCGGCCTCTTCCTCGCCCCGGTGGCGATCTACTCCGGCGCCAGCAGCGAGGTCGGGGAGACCTGTACAGGAGTCCAGGGCCGGTAAGTCTTCGTTTCTGGCAGATGGAGATGCTACTGGCCTTTTTGGTTAAGGGGACAGAGCTAGTT